ACACTTAGGTTCCGGGTATAAATATTGGACCCCGGTTATTGTAAAGAAGAATCCAATCAATCAATACCAATTACTTTTTCGGCTTCACGCCAACCCTTAGGAGTAGGAGTAGTGTCGATCTCGGCGAGTTCTTCAACAAGCAGGGCTGCATCGGTCCGGTCGACCTCCAGCTTATCTGTAAGTACCGTCATGGCTTATACCACTATTTGTAAGGGATCATCGGTCCGGCCGACCTCTTACGAGCTCTAGTATAAGCTAGTTATCGATCCTTATCTAGTTTAAGTACGGCTGCATCGGTTATGTTTGACCACCACTGCTCGAATTAGACTAAGGCCAAGTTATCGGCTCTACTTAAGGGTGGCATCCTTCGAGTAGATTCATTAAGTTACTGATCTTACTGATGTTCTTATTGTCACTAGTTTTAGCAATATCAACCTACCCGATCGAGATCGGTCTAGATCAGCCTCACACCCTTTTAGTCCATCGTTTATTCTGTTATATTGCGATGATTCTTACTTTAAACGATGGATTATGTTTTATCGGCCGTTCTACTTCGATCTTGATCATGCATAGTACGTGGTTAAGGCATGCTTGATCTTGAGAAGGTTTACCGGCTAGTTGAATCTGGTCTATAGCTCGCTATTATGGATGTAACGATCCGGTCGATCCCCACTGTTAGTACTTTAGATCAGAGTGTGTTGGTTGGTAGATTTGCTTTTGACTAGACATGACCCTAACTGTTTGCTATGCCTGCATCGGCTAAATAGCCGATCGCCTGTACTCTAATGCTTATAGTGTGTCTTCATGATTTTGTTAAATATGAATAGATATGTTTGCTTTAAAAGGTTTAATCTGTTATCTTTATTATGGCTGCCATCAATCCGGTCGAACCCCACTGTTAAAGATAATAGATTAGATTCGATGAGTTTATAAATCTATTCGTATTAAATAGTCGATTGTTCTCATGCTATGATCATTTTTCTACCTGAACCGGCTATTTCAGTCGATTCGCCTGTGCTTTCACACATATAGCATGTCTTCCAGAAACCTATCAACGTATAGATGGTTTTATAGATTCTTTGGCTTTAATTTGTTGTTATCATCATAGCTGCATCGATCCGATCGAACCTCATTGTTGATGGTAGCAGATTAGATTCAGAGCGTTTGTAGATCCATTTGTACTAGACAGTCGATTTTGTTCGCATGTTATATCCTTTCTCGTTAAACTCATTGGCTCAATACTTTACGTTAGTTATATTTATCTAGCTGATGATGTTACTTATATCTGGGAACGTTGCATTCGTTACTATAAAATCAATCATGACCCGCGAGTGTTACAGTCCTTAACAGTCGATTTCTTCTCGTATCGGCTATTTAGTCGATTTTCCCGTCTGGCTGCTCCCGAAGCGGCACACTTAGAACTGTCTGGGCAAAACCGGCATGTTCCACCTTAAATTACTGATAAACTTTCTCTCCTTATCAATTGCAGGTCAAATTGACTGGCATGCCCTTGGGAAATTTGCAGGGTCGACTGGTTCTGCGTTGAAGCCAAGCGGATCTCTAGCCTTACTCTATCAAGCAGATCCTTCTGGCTTGCTGCATGTTGATATTTTGTGTCGGCAGGCTGTGATGAAGAACTCACCAAGGAAGCAGACACCACCTTCTGGGGCGGTGCCACTTGCTCCGGCGACGAGGCAGGTGGCTCCGGCCACCGTAGAGCCTGAATTGCACTTGACGCTGCCCCCTACTTAGCGCGCTAGCTGTCGCAGTGTCAGAACCACGACAAGCATTGTTGTACATGTTGGTGTCAGAGTATGTGTCTCTGGTGGCTCGAGTGGACTCAAGAACACAAGAATCATAAAGAAGATGCAACGGTTTATCCTGGTTCGGGCCGATCGATGCCCTACGTCCAGTAGCTGATGATCTTTAAACTCAAGAGCACCTAAAATCAGGGGGTTATAATAGAGTATATAGGAGGTAGATAGAGATTTGGTAGGGGTTTAGCTCGGTGCTAATCTTGAGGTTGCCTCGCCACCGGTGAAGCTTTCCCCTTGTCGGAGAGGAGGAAGACGACGGGTGCGGTGGATTAGCTCTCGGTGCCGCTCTCTGGGTTGCTCTGCTCTCGGTGCCGAGCAGGAGCGGATCGATGAGGAATGGAATGATCTGTCTAGGATCGTCCTCCCCCCTCTAGGGTCCGACCTTATCCCTTATATATCGAGATAGGTCGGGTACATGGCAGTTTGGGGAGTTCAGCCTATGGTCTACATGCGTCGAAGTCTAGGAGGGTCTTGCAACAACGCTCTGTGGACCGTGGCGGTGCGTGAAGTTGAAGAAGCCCTAGGAGTCATACGACTGGTCTGTTATGACACACTGAGTGTCAGGCTATGTCGGCTTGGACCGACCTCTCTAGGCACACCTTCTAGAGTCTTCTTGATGGTGAGGGAAGTCGGCTCGAGGGGCTCACACATGGGCCCAGAAGCCCCCGAGCCCCCGAAGGCCGAGGAGAGCTTGTCTTCTTGTGTCTGTCGGGGGAGCGGCCGGCAAGGTCGTGCCCAAAGTGCTGAGTCATGGAGTCCCCGAGCCTCGATAGCTCGTGACATGTCTTCTAGTGCCCGGGCCTTGGCTGGCGTCGTCGGCCGAGCAGGAGCCAAGGGTCGGGCTCAGGTTTCCCATTGATCGGGAGCCTGAGGCTTGGGCAAGCCCCTAAGCTCTAAGCAGAGGCTGCGGTGTGCTCAGGCTCAGGCGAGTTTCTTGGTCTGAGGGTGCACACGAGCACACCCAATGGGTATAGCCCCTGGGCGATCATAGAGGGGTCGGTTGGGGGTCTCTTCGGTCGGGAACCATTGATCCCGAGGCTTAACATACCCATATGTTAGGATCTCGTCACCACCCGATCTACTTTTCTATTGAGTTCTAGTTGCAGGGACTTGGTGCTATGGGAAGTTGAGACACCCACGAAGATTAGTATTCAACTCGATTTGTGATTTACACTATGTATAATGAGCCGCAATAGTGTCATTTAGGAAGCGCGGAACCTCCACGGATTTGTCCAGAACTTTCGCGCCACGGAAGTTCAGCACGAATCCGTGGAACCACCATAGTCTGCTAACCGTTGCAATCAAGTTTTAGTTTTTAACATGCCTATTCATCCCCTCTAGGACTTGCCAGATCCTTCAATAACGGATAGAGTTATGGTGTAGTGGTTGCAAGTGTTAGAATCGTTCTTGATTAGAAGCCTAGCATCATCAACATGGAGATCTCCACAAATCGACTTATCATTATATTTTGGAAAATCGGGCCTCTAAATTTTCTTATCAAACAGTTTGTGAGGGTTGCGATCATGTCTCTGCAAGGGTTAATGTTATCTAGTGGTTTTTGCATATTTTGCATGAAGTTGTTTTAATTGCACGATTTTAATTTGTTGTTGGTTTCTGCATTCTACAGTGAAACTATTTTAGTTGCACGATTTTGTTGTTGCCATCTCTAGGAGTTAATTATTTGGATCCTTTCAATATGCTAGAGACCGAATATCAAATTAGAATACAGTTATGATTAATATATCTAATGGGGAGGATATATTTATTCGTAATTATATAAACATGGTTATTTTCGTACGATAGTTGTCCCTTCACTAATAAGTTTGTTTGGAAAATGAATCTCCTCCTACAGATAAAGATTTTCTTTTGGCATCTATAGCGAGGAGTAATTTAAACAATGATTTTGTCTTGGAATTAAAAGTGTTATTTTTGTTATTTTAAATATATAATTTGCTCCTCTTTTCTATTGTTATTAGCATGCTAAGACTATTTAGAGAATTGTCCATATAACTACTGGGTTAACCTAACCTAAATCCGGAACTGATATAGTAATTGGAAATTGGTTAACCGGTATAGGGAATGTTAGGGTGATTTGGTGTAAACGTGATGATCTTATTATCTTTAATAAAAATGATATAATTTTTTTTATAATGCTACCTTCAAAAGAATATAGTAGCTATGGTTTTTGGCATTGTTGTAGTATGAGGATCATCAGCTTAGCGAGCTAGAGCTCGCTCACCAGAATCAACTACAATCATTCAATAAAAAAAAATCAAAGAGCTGGAGCTAAGAATTAGGGAGTGAAGCTCTATCAAATAAGCCCTTAGCTCCAACTCTTTGTGTCAATGCAAAAGTGATTTTTGTCTGATCGTCACCAAAATCTGAAATTAGATGATATAGAGTGTGATTGTAATGGCGAAGCTGCTCCAAGGAGCATTGCCAAACGCCTTTTAAGGTGTTCGTGCGTTTAGGGATGCATGCTTGTGTGTGCATGTGACGTTCACGTATGTATTGTGTCTCAAAAGAAAAAAATGGTTCAAGCCTTTGCATCTCAGATTGCAGCGGGGTGATTGTATTATTTTGTGCGCGATTGAGGTGTTTTTTTTAAAGCTTCACTCCCTAATTCCTGGCTTCAGCTACTTGATTTTCTGATGAATTTAAAGCTTCACTCCATAATTCCTGGCTTCAGCTACTTGATTTTCTGATGAATTAATTCCAGTGAGGCAGTAAGTAGGAAGTGATTCTAGTGGGAATTAAATAGGAACCATGATGAGCAGTTTTTTGCTCTTAGCTTTCAGCATAAATGGATAAAAGTGATTTTTTTAATTTCAATCTCCACTAGAATTTAAGTGAGTTTTTGATGTTTAGGTGACCAGAAGTAATTCTCATGCAGAAACTGCTCAAAATAGCGCTGTCAAACTGCACCTTAGTGTGATTTCTGTACAAGTCACTCCCTTGCCGCGTCGAATGACCTATTCTCATGGCTACTAGATAGCGGTCGTTCAGAGAGTTTGTTAGCTAATAGATCGTGTGCCAGCGCCATTTTCTGCGTCTTACTAGTTCTCTCTGCTTGTACTAGGCAAGCATAAAGATCAGTACACGCGGGTTCAGAAGTCTTCAAAAACCCAGCGCCGCATGCAGTTTCCATCCATCCGGAAACCCCGATCAAATCCGTAAACACAAATGGCGGCGTCGTCCTCGTCATCGCCGGCGCCACTGTGGGTTGCCCTTGGGCGCGTCACCCTCGTGCAGCACGACTCCATCAAGGACCCTGCGGACGTCTCCCTCAAGCTAGCCCTGCCGCCGCGCGCCTCGACACTCACGGTACCCATGAGCGTCCACCCGAAGCCCGACTACGACGACACCGACAGGCACCCATACGTGGTCGCGGCCGCTGAGGCCGGTCTCCTCCTCCACGCCTCTTACTGGCCCTTCGTCGGCTTCGACCTAGATCGTGACCCGCCGGGCATCCTCCTCGTCGCGCGTGACTTCCTCCGCGGCGCCGGACCCGGGGAGGCCATCGCCGCCTCCATCGTTCGCGTCCCCGACCGGGACCGTCCATACCAGGCCGGCATCTCCACCATAAAAAACACTGGCCTCGTCTCCCTGCCCGGCAGCGGTGGCGCCGACTACGTCGTCGCAGAGCTCTACATTTCCGCCAGCGACGAGGAGGACGACGACGACCGCGCCACCCTCCTCTTCTTCCGCTCCAGTGCCGACTCGTGGGTCCAGAAGGATCTGAGGTGCCCCTCCATGTCCGTCCGGCGCTGGATGTGGTCCTCCCACGACGTGGTCGCCCACGACGGCAAGCTCTGGTGGGTGAACCTCGTGTGGGGGCTCCTCGGCTGCGACCCCTTCGCTGACGAGCCCGTGCTGCACCACGTGGCGCTGCAGGAGACGTACCCGATCGGCCACACGGCGGAGGTGTTGCAGGACATCGAGAGGCGGCGCATGGTGAGGGTGAGCCAGGGCAAGCTGCGGTTCGTGGAACTCGCCTGTCCGCGCGTCGGCCACAAGGAGGAGACGCTGGTGGTTGTCTGGACTCTGGTCTTCGGCCGGGGCACGTTCACGAGGTGGCAACACCACCGCGTCGCGAGCCTGGCGAGCATCTGGGCGAGCGACAGCTACAGAGCCACAGGGCTGACGGTGCAGGTGCCTGCTCTCGCGCTCCTTCACCCCAGCAACCCGGACGTGGTCTACTTCTACCTGGAGCAGTACCTCTTCGGTGTCAACGTGGCCCAGAGCATGGTTGTGGACTTCGTTCGCCGGCCGTGCAAACTGGTCGAGGTGGTCGCTGGTCACAGGCGCCCACCGCCGGTCAGCTGGCGGCACGTCCTCGCTTGGGAGCTGCCATGCTCGCTTGCTGGTGGTAAGGCATACCAAGCTTAATAATATTAATTGCATCGTATGATCGATCCTCTCAAGCATGGACAGCGTAACACATACAACTATACAAGCCAAATAATGGAGGCTGTCTCATTTCTTTTCTGAAATTTGTATGTAGCAATACTGTTGTGTGTGTTCATCTGATCTGATATTTGGAGTTAGGGTGTCAAATTAAGGAAGAAAGTGATTGGCGGAATTGCTCACAAATGATTACAGATATGGGTGCCGGCCTGGGCGTCCACAGCCACATGGTCCAATCCGTGGCTAAGGCCGGGTCTAGTTAGGAAAGACAGTGAAAGGGAGGATTTTTAGGAGATTTGATTTGCTATTGTTAGGAGCTGCACCTATCCTATATAAAGGCACTTAGATTGTAATTTGGATTGTCAAAGAAGGAAATAGACCAGCTTTAGACAGGTGGGTTACCCCTTCGACAGTGGCTGCACACGGTTCAGCCATCGCCACCGGCGACAAAACGACCACGCCATTGCCTCGCTATCCCTTGCACTCTAGCTCCCAGTCCCAATTGCTCCTCCGATCCCCTATACGTACACCACGCCGCATCAAAAAGTATGCCAGTAACGTTGCATTTAAGATGTAAATAAAGTCGTAGTAATTTGTTAATGCATATGGTCATATAATAATTATCTAGTAATGACAATATACTAGATCACATTGCCTTTCTTTCTGCAAGGTTGCTCATCTTTTGTGTTGTGAATAATAGGAATGTCTTTAGTATGCTGATGAATAAGGACACACTTAAGTACTCTCTCCGTTTTAAATTGTAAGCTGTTTCAGTTTTTAGGTACATAGGTTTCTCTATATATTTTGTATATACTATGTCTAAGATACATAGTAAAGACTATGTATATCTATAAAAATCATAATAACTTGAGCTTTAGTATGGTACTCATAAATAATTTTTGCCGTATATTTAATTTGATCTAAATGGTTATGATCACGTATTACCTTCTAGGAGAGATAATAGGTTATATACATTTTATTTTCTAATAAAATAGGATAATAGGGAAACAAATCATTGGACTAGATCTTAATTTCAAGCGTGATTCGTTGGAATGCCCACACGCAAGCATGATTGATGTATTTAGTGCTTTATTATCATGTTCCAAAAATATAATCTAAATATCTAGATAGTTGTATATATTAATTAGATCTCTAATACAAATATTTTTTGTTGGAACGTGATAAGCCTGTGTTTCTTTTGAACTTGTAAACTGTAAAAGAGTTAACGAAACATATTATTTTTATTTAACAGCTCTTGAGGTAGTGGTCTTTAGAAATACAAAACAATATGAGGTGGATCCCACCAATTTGTAACTTTCAGCAACACTAGAAATGAGCCCATTTGACAGCACACGTGACACGTCCTGTCAAGCTTCCGTTCTTAGGTTGAGCTAAATAAGGAAGGGGCGAGCGTGACGCTGAGATCTAGGGAGTTTTTTTGTTTTCCTGATAATTCTAATTATTTAAGTGTTCCATAGATTAAAAAACATCAGGGATTGAGATCTATTTGAGCTTTTATTTTGTATGGGTAACCGGAGTACTGCGACAAGCCCCAAATAACTTATGATTTAAAACAGAGCTAGCAATAATAAATAAATAAGTAGGGCTATTGGTTTGACAACCGTGACAAACAAAGGTCCTATTTGGATACGTGTTCTGTGACCGGTTTGTGCGGTAGTAGAGGCACGATCGGAAAGCCGGGGTACGACAAATCAGACTCCACGTTATTCTTGCGGTGGGTGAGTCTTGCATGGTGAGAAAAATCATCGATACAACGAGATGTTTGGTGGATTTTTTTCGATTATAGCTCGCGGTGGGGCGGCTGAAAATCTGATTTTAATTGGTTGCAAACACGGACTAAAACAGGTGAATGAAATCACATTTTAACTTGGATTCAGGCTAATTATTGTTCACGAGAATTGTTTACATAAGAAAAATGTATGAGGTTACTTGAAATAAATGAAATCACGAATCAGACAACCGTTCCTAACATGCATGTTTGTATTGCAAGATAAGACGATGGTGACGTTGACTGACTTGAATAGTGAGGACTAAAGCTATTTTTTCATGAGAAAGCTTAGGGGCCAATATATATAGTGATGAGGACATCACATGCCTGGATACAACCACATTAGTAACTTTTGATTCATAGGTGAAACAATCCTTTATCATGATTGTATTTGATACATTTGATGAATTGATGTTGCACCATGATGTGTGTTCATTGTCATTTTCAGAAATACATACATGGATCAAAAAGAGTGTTAAAGACACATGGAAGGCATGGAGGACCAAAGAAGTTGATTGGGAGCCAAGTACAAGTATTCCCAACGTCCTCCACCAGGACACCACGTCACTTTTGGCCCAAGGAAAGAAATAGATCAAATCCAACACGTTTTGGGGCTGGATTTGGACTGCAACACTGCACCAACTTGCGACGGTCGCCACGACCTCATCCGGACTCTGTTTTGGGCGTTCAAGTACTCCATGGAATTCTTATGAAGTCTATTTTCATATGGATTTGGACTCATGTCTATATATTGCCTGAGGCGTCCGCAATGATCAAATTACTATCGAGAGGTTTTTCTGTCAAAGGTGCTGTGTCGCCTTATTTTGTCCCAATGGGCCGTGTATCAAGTCAGATCCATTAGGGACGCGTCCTAGGATTGGAGCACGACCCCCAACACCCTGGTGGTTGTCCTTCCACCTTCATATACCTCTTAGCCACCACCAAGAATAGTTGGGTTTTGTTTTATTAAAAGTTTAGCCATTGCTACTTCCTTGTAGACGCGTGTGTTGACTAGACCATCCGTTCTACTTGATTCAGAACCCCAACTTTGTGAGTTCAGATTGGTTTTTCATCTCCATATTTGCAATTGAGTTGCTTGTTCTACTTGTTCTTGCTTGTTCCTCGATTGCTTGCAGGAATTATCCTAGTGGTTTGGTTGATTGTGCTCTACAAGATCGCGACGGCCGTTGGAGGTGGTGTATCGGTTGCTAAGGCGCAGCATCCTTGGATGGTTGTAGTCAGGCCGTGAACGTCATCTCCATCCCCAAATCGAGTTATCCACCTTCTCTCATCGAAAGATCAGGATTCAACCCTAGCGGGTTCATATCAGTTGGTAATCAGAGCAAGGTTTATCGGTGAGAGACTTCGAATCCTTCGCTGTTTTTTTATTTTTTCCTATAGTCTAGAAAAGCAAAAAAATAGTAGATTAGTTTACCCACAATCCTATAAACCCTTTGAGCTTAATACTATTATGCTTAGTTAGGGCTTATTGAATGAACGGTTGCATCGTCGTGTCAAGTTGCTGGTCTTAGAGTCTAGTCGTGTAGAGTTTCGAGTTCTAGTCACGTTTGTGTTACCATCGTAGATTTGAGTTTATTTGTTTCTCTCCACGAATCAGAGTGGATTTCCAAATTCCTTTGTTTTGTTTACCACCAGTACCCTAACCACATCCTTGGAGGTTTCATCCACGTCCATACTTCCATCTCCAAAAAGGAAATCCAACAAGTTCAAAATAGAATTCGATTCGAAGTCCTGTTTTATCTTGAAAAAGAAAAGCACCATAATTCCTTTGTCAGGAGTCCGAATAAGGAGTTTAAATATAATCTGGAAACCTTAACTTCTGCTCTTTCCAATGGATCTGACCTTGGTCCCAAATTCATTTTGAGCGCTTCGTAATCACCCTGGAGATTTGTGCATCTCCTGGTTTTGCAAAACAGCCACTTGAATCACCCTTCCCAATGAAACATTTAATTGCTGTAAGTAGCTTGTTATCTCTTGTTGCAAAATTTCAGCTTTGTGCTACTTGAAAGAAAAAGAAAGAAAAGAAAGACAGAAAGAAAGAAAAGAAAGAAAGAAAGAGAGACAAGAAGAAAGAAAGAAAGAAAGAAAAGAAAGAGAAAGAAGAAGAGAAGGGTTTTTCTTTTGTTGTTATTCCTCTCCTTGGGATCCTTCTTTGCTGTAGCTCAGTGACTTCATTTGTGTCCAGGCTCGCGTCTCTAGCACGTACTAGCCTAGGACCAGCACAATAACGTCGTTGAGCGTTTGTTCAATTTTCTTGCAACTAACGTGGTTCTAGTACTTCCTTGCTTTAGCCCACCTATACCTCCACATATTTCGACTATAGCTTGACAGGTGTTGTTGCGGCACCGATACACTTCATTCCACTGTTGCAGACTTGTTGGTTGTCGTCACCTCCTGTTTGGCTTGGTAAGAACTTGTAAGGGCATGTTGTAACAAGTTGAGTTTGAGAGAATTACAACCGACAGATCCTAGTAGTTGATAGGATGATACATATTATTTTTGTGTTTCTTGTTTTCTACTAATCATGGCAGGTGATACGGAAATTTTTGAGCTATTGAAACTAGACTCTCAATTTAGGATGTTATTCAACACTTGCCGTTATATGATAGTAAGTTTGATCCTTAAGCTTACATTGATTGGGAGCTAAAAGTAGATAATGAATTTGATGAGCAAGATCTATCCGAGAAACAAAAGATTTGTATTGCCTCTAATATTTTGATTGAATATGCTTTGCTAGAATGGAAACACATTTATAGGCACAACAAAGTTCTAGAATCTTGGAAAGACTTCAAATTTCTTTTTAGAGATGCATTCGTTCCTGCATATTATGCTGATAATTTGCTTGCAAAATTAGACAACTTAAAGCAAGATAGGACTGTAAAAGAATACTACCATGATTTTAAGATTTGCATCATGTTTGGTGGATTAGTTGAATGCATGGAAGATGTTATGAGTAGGTTCATGAGATGGGTCAATTCTGAAATTCGAACCTTGTTAATTAGTAAATCATACATACATATTGGTCAATTGTTTTGTCTTGCTCTCAATGCTGAAAAGGAGAGTCTCACTAGTAAAAAAAGGGCTTCTATTCCCGGCTGCCAACACCCTTTATTCCCGGTTACGCAGCCGGGAATAGGAGTTCAGGAATAAAGGGTTAGTAGCCGGGAATAGA